TCAGAGGTAGGGGGACATGGAGCAGCAAGCACCTGATCCAATCTGGCCCGCGAGTCTGGCCGACTGATGGAACACCCACAGCTGTGGGAGGAGGAGAAGGAATGAAGGCCCAAAACACAGCGAGGGGCTTGTTCTCAATCCGGACGGTCTTCTAAGACAGAACTGACGCCTGACTGAAGGAGGGTTCTCTAGCTACTGAAAGAAACCAAAATGAACAATTCAAAGAACCTCAGTAACTCTCTAGATAAATCATTCTACCAGACACCCAAAATGAGGCAGTGACTGACTAGCGAGCCCTATTAAAACTCAGAAATTCAGTGTCTGAACTGATAAAAGAAATATAATATCCAGGGCGGGAGGGGGATCTTCAAATGTTCACAGGAAATGCATACCATGAAAGAACCAGGCATACACTGCTAAATGGTTTTGCACCAAAATAAACCTGTAGTTTGATTCCATTTTCCACAAACTTTTTGAAGTCCCCTCTAACGGCACCCTTACTCCAGTACATATTAATGAGGTGGGAGAAAACAGTTCATTTCAATTAAGTCCAAACCATTTGCCCCGAGCTCCTCTCGCTATGTTTAGTGATGTCACCCAACAAATTGAGGTTCACGTGGAGTAAGAAGACATAAAAAAATGAAAGAATCAATGAAGTGCTGGGTGCTGGGTGGGTGCAGGGCGGCATGATGGTCTTCTTTACACTGTTCAGCTCTGCAATGAGTGGGAAGGTGTCAATCTCAAGCATTAAGTGTTTCAGTAGAAGGACCACATTCATTATGACTTCATAATAAATCCCTTAAAAGAAGAAAAGCCAAAAGCTAAGAGGCCATAGAGCAACGTGGTCTTTATCTGTGTTCTACATCAGGTCTTTCCAGAAGCGAGCTGGGCGGAAGCAGTAGGCAGAGGATTCCTGAGGAAGGACAGTGCAATGGCTGAAAGGCCAGACGCCAAGGCCTGACAGTTCAAATCTCAGCTTTTAGCTATGTGTCTGGGGCAAATTAAACCTCTCCATGTCTGTTTCCCCACCTACTGGGTGCTGACTGTGGGAATCGACCTTATCATATAAAACACCTAGGCTGGGGACCAGCAGTTGGCATAATGGCTATGTCGCTGGACTCCCACGTAGTCGACTGCAGTTCAAGTCCCGGACCTGGTGGCTTAAACTCATGTGGGGTGCGTGTGCGTGCGTGGCCTAGATCCCCAGAGGAGAATGGAGGAGAAGGGATTGCGGTATGGCCATACCCCAGGGAGTGATTTCTCACTTTCTGTCTGTCTCTCTGTCTTTCTGGTGAGCGCATGCACCCTCAAAAAACAAAACACAACAAAAAAGAACAGCTAGGCTAAGGCCAGGAGTTGAGCTTGGAAGGCTGCTGCCTACCTGCTCAGGGATGCAGTAACCGGCCAGAGGATAATCTGGCAAAGAGTACCTTCCTCCTGCACTGAAAAGCCTGTACAGGAAATCTAAGAAAGGCCACCGCGGTAAAAGCCCCACCTTCCAAACCCTCTCCTCTGCACACAAAACTCTGCGCACAGGCCCTCCTCCTCCAGCAGAGACTGCCACTCTCCTTCAAATGCTTAACACTTCAAGCAAAAACGTGGGCCCCTCCTGAGGACTAGGGATGGATATTAAAGTACTGGAATTAACTTTGCCTAAAATTTCCCAGTAACTGAATGAGTCACTCACTTCTTTAAAAACAGAGTAAAATGTCAAGGTTGCCAAAGAACCCCGGCCCAGATGTTTGCATAAATCATTCTCAAGTGATCATCAAGCCAAAGACAGAGGACATTACTCAAGATAACACTTCAAGTAAAATACAGCCGCTTTTATGATTCTTTCCTGTAAGGGAGAGAATTCTGAAATGTAGTGACTGGGGAAAAACATCATCGTAAATTTAACCCTCAAATTAGACAACGTATCAAACAAAGCTTGGAATTCTCCTTGCACTCCGGCTTCAGAGGGTTTCGTTTCTGTCAGGCCGTTTTCTCCCACCTCGTCGGTAAGCACTGGACAAACTCCAGGTTCAAGATTAAAAGACAGCTCCTACCGCTTGTTCCTGTTTTCTCTATCACACTACCTACGGTAAACAGACCATTTTGGAAATCGTGACACATCTGTATGCAATCAAGTATTTTACTATCTTTCACCTGGAAAATATTTTCAATGCTGATGATAGGGTCCATAAAGGGGCCTTTTTCCATTTTCACAATTATTCATGTAAAGTTTGAACTTTAATTTCAATTAACTCCAAATCATTTGGCCTAAGTTAAAAAAGAAAACATCCACTTGTTAAGTCCAAGGTTTCTCTACCCCTATTTTAGATTAGCCTGTCAGGGTTTTAGGTCCTCAGATTTGCTCACTACGCCGCACACAACGCCAGCAACACTAAAACTGTCCCTAATGTACAGGTCACTGGCGAGGGGGTTCGCGCTGAACCCGCACACGCCGTGGGGTGCCTTTCCAAACGGGACGGACCATGTCCGTGTGCTTACTTTCAGTAACGTTCAATAAAAGACTTTGGACGGGTCGTTTCCCCAACTCAGCAGCCCCTCTGATCACAGGGCTCAGAACTGAGCGCCCCACAGCTTCAGGCCTGAGAATAACACGCGCTTCCCGGCTGGGCTCCCCCACGTCTGCTCCAAACCAACCCAGGGAACTGCCGAAGGACGGCACGCAAAGCAACCCTACGCATCTACCTCTAAGAGGGCCGAATACGAAATAAACTTTATCTCTGCAGAGACAGTGAACGCGTGGGGGGAAGCGCCAGGCAGGTCTGTTTGATCCATTTCCGCGACTCGGGGCGCGCAGGCGGTCCGGGCTAGCGAGGGCGCCTTAACCCGGTGCGAGCCGGGGCCATCCCCAGCGAACCGCGGGCGGCACGCCGGCGAGGTGGCGCTTCCGCC